GTAAAGTTTCAAACAAGCGAAGAAATTGACGAGGAGATGTGTGCGTGTGTGTGTGTGTGTGTGCGAATTTGCTTCAAAAGGGAGATGCCCACCATTCATTTATTATTATTATTATTATTTCACTTTCCACTTTTTGTACACATGCGGCACAATGCATACCCTCTTCTTTTCTTTCTTTCGTTATTTTTTTTTTTTCCCTTTTGTTCTTTTTATCAGTACACTCGTGTCTTTTTTTTTTGTTTCTTCTTCTTTTCTGCTGCTGCGGACGGTGTGTGCGTGAGGCTTGTACTGTGCCTGTTGCTGGGTGTCACTGTGCGTGTACTTTTGCACTTGCTGTCATCACTGGCCGGCGTGCCTGCTCCGCGATCGATTTTGTTGCACGCAGCGCTTTAAGCGGTTGGGGTGGGGGGTGGATGGACGTGGAGAAGTGGCGCCGAACACTTCAGGGGTTTGTGAGCAGCTCGGCTCTGCAGGTGCGACCTGCTCCTCTGCAGAAAGTCCTGCAGAGCGCCCGCCTGGAGGTCAATCACCCGCCGCTGCCGATGGAGGATTGGATGAAGTTGTACCAAAACATGGAGAGTCGTTTTAGTACCGTGCAGGCGGGGCTTTCTCTGCAAGCTCAACGACTGCGCTCTGAGTGGAGCGGGTTGCAGGAGCCCGCCCCGGGGACGGCGGTGGACGATCATGCAGACAACGCGGCAACCGTCCTGGCCGCCTCTATTGAACGCCTGCGTGGCGTTCTACTGAATGCGTGCTCTTCTCTGCCCGGCAATGCAATGGAATCGAACGCTGATGGCTCTGCCTGATTCCTTTCCCCTGTCATCTCCAGTGGGGCAGCTTCTTTCCCAGTGGCTAGTTCAGGCAGTGGGGCGGTGCAGCACGTCCCGTATTATTTCTTTCCCTTGTCTGCTTGGCCGCGACAAAAATTTATCTTTTTTTTTTTTGTTTGTGTGTGTGTGTGCTTGCGCTATGGGAGGTGACAAATGTTCCTTTTTGCTTGCGTGAATTGTGTGCTATTCTTCTTTTTTTTTTTTTCTTTTGGGGGAGGTTTGGTTGCCATTAAACTTGTGCGGGGAGGGGAGAGTAAAAGCGAGAGCGGAAGGAAAAGCTATTCTTATTTATTTATTTATTTGTCACCCCCGCCTGTCAGAAATTCCGTCAAGATGCCGAAGAATATGGGAAAGGGCGGCAAGTCCTTCAAGGCAGGCAACGCGAAGGGGATTATGCAGAACCAGAAGCGTGACATTGTCTACGCCGACCCGCA